CCCGCCCCCTCCTCCCCGAAAAACGTGTGAAGTTATTCAACTTTCCACCTGTTGCCTGCTGCACTGGGCGTGGGTTATTGCAACCTCTAATGTTGGTTCAGGCAGGGTGGAGGTTGGGGACCGTGCTGGGGAGCTGTTGGCCCACATGGGCATAGGGAGGGCATGTTTATCAGACAGAAAATAAACACAAAGTGCGGAGTGTGGCTCCCCAAATGTTGTGCAAACAAAGAACAATAATTATTAAACAGCTTCCAAAGCAACCCAGCACACCCACCCCTTCTGTGTAAGGCCTTTAAAAATGTACATGAAGTTCCCATTTATCTTTTTGTTGATTAAACTCTAGCGGTTGTTATAAATACCGGTCAACAGGCCACACAGCCAAAAGGTAACGTAAATCTCAGATGCAAGACTTAGATTTTTTAAGCAATTTTGTTGCATGACTCTTTTATCTTAGCATCCCTTATTTTATTTTGATTTGTTTTCGGCCACAATGAGTCCTTTAGTGCCATTGTGGACTCACAATGCACACGGACATCAGGCTGTGAATGAAGACAGAGGCAGTTTAAACAAACCAAGCTCTTTCTTTCCTTTCCTTCCATTGTAATATGAATGGGCCTTCTGCATTCGGCTGCTAGGAGACCGGCTTTGCAAAGCCCTGCTCCAATAAATGGGCTGGAGAGAAAGGGACCCCAATAAACAGCCCAAGTATCCAAGTATCAGAGGGTAAAAAAAAAAAAGAAGGAACAAAATTTAGGTAAGTATTTTTTCACTTTTAAATCAACATATTTCCTAATCTCAGAATGTTAGTTTCCATCGTTGCATTCCTTGCTTTCAACAGTTTCCTTCATTCTTATTGTAATTCCTATTCCCTCACTCCATCACTTCCAATGAGGAAACAGAACAGGGATAGTCCTGGATCACCATCAAGGTTTGTTTTCAAGATACAATATTTTCTTTTCTTTCCTTTTTTTTTTTTTGTTCCTTTTAGGAAAATGGGGAACTGGGGTGGCATATTTGTCAGTCATCATCACTAATAACTCATGATCATACAATGCCTTCAAAATCTATTCGTTGGGGGATCAGTAGGAGCCTAGTTGGTGAGTCTGAATTTTTTTTAGGAAAGATCACGAACTATGATTTGCTTTTCTGCTAGTTGAGACTGTTCCTATTCCTGTTAATAAACTGATTGAGGCAAGATGTGAAGCTGCTTGCAGGTTGTGAAGCTCCCAGGCACTGATTGTGTTAGAAAGTAACACCACCTGCCAGCTGTCACTCATTTCTCAGTGGCTAGAGCTCAGGCATCTGGGCACTAAGGAGCCAACCACTCTGCAGGCAGAGGGGAACCCACACTGACTTAGAGCTCATGGGCTAGGGCAAGACATGCAGGAAGTAGAAGACCACTTCATTTCCTCACTGGCTTGTTCACTCCTGACTCATCACAGGGGCTGAGGACCCAAAGTGGAACTGGACCTGTCTCTGCCACCAGGTGAATTATAGAATGAGTTGGGGAAGACTTTCTTGCTTTTCCATTTTCTGAAAGTTTTTGTAGGATTGCTATTTCTTCCTTAAAAGTTTGATAGAAGTCACCAGTGAGGCTGTCAGCACCTGGCCTTTTCTCTGTGGGAAGGATTTTTTTATTGTTGTTGTTTTGTTTACTTAATTCAACTTCTTTAATATAGGCTTACTCATCATTTCTACTTCTTTGGTCAGGTTTGGTGATTTGCATGGTTCAAGGAATTTCTTATCTAAAGTTGTTCAAATGTTCTTTTATTCCTTAACTGCAGGTGGTTTCTGTAGTGATACTGTCTTCCATTGCTGGGATGCACAATCTGTGTCTTCTCTCTTCTTGAGAGACTATGATCAGAGTATTATAGGCTTATCAGTTGTATCGATCTTATCAAAGAACCAGTCTTTTGTTTCATTGATTTTTCTGGGCTCTAGGTAGAGATGGGGCAACCACTGGGCTCACTTCATTTGTTTTCCTCCTTTCAAGATTCTCCATCCTTTCCTTCCTGTTATCTGTTGTCTGAAAATAGTAATTTTGTATTTTTGTCCAGTTTTCTAGTTGTTTAAAGTGGGAGGAGCAGTTCTGTAGGAATTATTCCTTATCAGATGGAAGCTAGAACAGGACACTTTTGGTTGTAACAGAACATCCTGATTGACTATCTGACTATGTCTAAAGAAGATACTCTCTCTTATAATCAGGAAAGAAGGTGGTTTGAGTGCCGGTTGATGTAGTGGCTCTGCCATGTCAAGGCCCAAGTGCTCTTGTCTTTCTGCTCTGCCATCCATGCCTGTTGGTCACTCCATTTCCCGACTGCATGTCTGCAGCAGTACCAGACATCTTCACCATTACAATGATCATTAGAAGAAGACGAACATTGTCTTTCTATATGATACCTTTTATCAGCAATAAAACACTTCAGCAGCATTTAATGTGCATTGCCCATGTAGAAATCAGTATGTTTTCATGGTTTTGGCTTTTTGTCTTTCCTAATTTTTGGATGGTCAATTGTTAACTGGATTAGTCTGTCCTCATGCTGCTAATAAAGACATACTTGAGACTGGGTAATTATAAAGGAAAGAGGTTTAATTTACTCACAGGTCAGCATGGCTGGGAAGGCCTCAGGAAACCTTACGATCATGGCAGAAGGGGAAGCAAACACATCCTGGCAGCAGCAAGGAGAAGTGCAGAGTGAAGGCGGGGAAAATCCCCTTATAAAACCATCAGGTCTCATGAGAACT